GTTTGATGGTTTGTCCAAGACGGCCATAACCAGGTCGCGCCAGCACAGAGAAATCCGGAATGATTTCTTCTATTTTGATTTTGTTTTTTTTAGAGGATTCAGTCTGGTCATCCTTAGAGGATTCAGGTTGAGGTCTATCACTTTCGCGTTTAGACATTTTTTAGAAACAGGTTTATTTAAAGATGATGAAATAAAATGGTGTCTTTGTATTTGTTAAGTGTTATTTGTATTTATACTAAGTGAGAAATTATCTAAAAAAATTAAAATTTAATTAGTTCAACACGTCATAGTGATAATGAACCATTCACTGATTCGTAGGGATTCATTTTGTTAAAATTTATGATTAATTAGTCTAGTCAATTATATAGTATGTATTATCAGCTTGCGATGCAATAAGTATATTTTATTTGATATAATTAAACTTTCCAACATGCGTTCTAAAAGTCTCTTCGTGTTATCAGTAAAATAATCAATACACCATGTAGCAAATTTGAACATGTCATTATAATTTTCCTGCGCAATCTTAAGAACAATAGAAATCATAAATTCTTTATCAAAGATATTTTATGTGATTAAAGTTTAATTAAATAAAACTTGCATCAATTTTATTCAAAGAAATTCTTTTACGTGTTTGAAATTAAAGGAATACAGTCTTATTATAAGTGAGCTCCTTATTTTGTAAATAACATGCCATTCGAGAACTCACGTCTGAATAACCGATACTTTAATGAAAATTGTATTCAACTTTATATGCTCACATAACCGTTACATATTTAAAAAAGTTAAGTCAACAAAACGAAATTTCACAAATCATTGTAATGGACCATCCAAAGTACTATTTTGAATCATAATCTTTAATAACTATTATATATTGTCAATAGTTTATTGATACTAAATATTTAGCTTGCCAAATGAACATCTGCAGCTTTAGTTTATGACATTTATTTGATACATCCGAGCTCATATAAAAATTTAAATTTTATTTTCTATATAAAAAATTTATTTACCTATTATTTAATTATAAAATTTTTCTAAAATATAGTCAAATATATAATATAACTAATTATATATAACTAATAATTTATTTTTTTATTCTTGTTAATTAGCTCATTAATATGATTATTTGTGCTTCTTAATAATCTATGAAAGACATAAGGATCAATATCATTACACTCTTGTCTGATTATTTCTTGAAATTTACTTGTAAATAGAATATTCATCTTCTTTTTAACCTTTTTTTAGTATTGCTCATTTCTAATTAGATTTATCAAAATTAATTCATATCTTAA